TTTTTTGACTTATGTAGAGATGAGGTCTCGCTGCCCAGGCGGGTCTCAAACCCGCGGGCTCAGGCAATCCACTCACCTCAGCCTCCCAAAGGCGCGGGATTACAGGCTGAGCCACCGAGCAGGAATATATATAAATGTACTTGTAAAAATATATATGTAGGTCCACAATCTCAAATCCCAGATCCTTGAAGTCAGATATTTTTGGAATCCAGAGTTTTTAGATTTTAAAACCCAAAATGTACCATGTATTGTATAAATACCCCCAGTGGAGTGTGGGGTTGTACTATACTCTATTATATTGATATTTCTGCAGCAAAACAAGATTATTCACTCTAGGATAAACACAGTTTATATTCTGTCATTACCTTTTACCCTCCTGGGAATTCCTTTGTCTTTTTCCCATCTTATTCCATTGACTGACTGCTAAGTACTTCTCTTTCCTGGTTTACTTTATTATTTTGGTGGAGTTCATCATCCAGTGGCATCTTCAGAAAAGTACATGATAGTTTTTTTGTTTGTTTTTGTTTTTAGGCGTTACATGTTCAACAATAATTTTAGTTTTCCCTTTATACTTTGGTAGAGTTGGATGTGAAATTCTAGGTTGGAAGTTATCCCTCCATATTTGTAATCATTGCTCTGTTGTCCTCTGGCTTTCAGTGCTGCTGCTCATTTGGATTCCCATCTTCTGTTGGTAACTTGCTCATTTTCTAGAAGCTTTTAGAATCTTCTTTTTTTTTCCCCCTGGAACCAAGTTTTATTTTATTTTATTTTTATTATAAAGATGTGGGGTACATGCCGGGCTCAGTGGCTCAGCCTGTAATCCCGCACCTTTGGGTGGCTGAGGTGAGTGGATTGCCTGAGCCCACGGGTTCGAGACCTGCCTGGGCAGGTGAGACCTCATCTCTACAGTAAATCAAAAAACTAGCTGGGCGTAGTAGCGCGCGCCTGTAATTCCGCCTACTCGGAAGGCTGAGGCGGAAGGATCACCAGAGCCCAGCAGGTCGAGGCTGCGGTGGCCAAGAGCGGCCACTGCACTCTCCAGTCTGGGCGACAGAGTGAGACTCCAACTCAAAAAAACAAAAAAAAAGATGTGGGGTACAATTCAGAGTTAGGTATACAAATGTTGATTATGCAGGTACCCTTCCTTGTTGGTGAGGTATGCCCCTCCCTCCCCTAGCGGTTTCCCTCAACTGCCGATCCTATCCCCTCCTGACAGTTTCCTACTACTGCCAATCACTTTCTTATAGTATTATAATTGTTCAAGGTTCGCTTATGAGTGAGAACATATGGTTCCCTGTTCTTTGTTTCTATGATAGATCACTGAGTATGATCAACTCCAGATCCATCCAAGTTGCTACAAAGTCCATATGTTTGTCCTTCTTTATGGCTACATAATATTCCACTGTGTATATGTACCACAGTTTTTTAATCCAGTCCGGCTTCGATGGGCAACATGGTTGTTTCCATGTTTTTGCTATTGTGAATAGAGCTGCAACTAACATACGTGTGCAGGTATCTTTTTTGTGGAATGATTTGAGTTCCTCTGGGTATATTCCTAATAGGAGAATTGCCGGGTCATATGGAAGATCAATTTCTAGTTCTTTCAGAAATCACCACACTGTCTTCCAAAGAGGTTGCGCTAGTTTGCATTTCCACCAGCAGTGTAGAAGTGTTCCTCCACCCCCCCCGCCCCCTCTTCCCCCC